TTTGTGTATCTAACTATTTTCATAAACACAGATTATAAGGTAGTCAATTTTTTACCTGAAACTATATCATGGTTAAATGATTTTCTTCCTTTTTTCTTGATTTCTCTGTTTTTTTAGAACATTATTAGTGTAGATAACAATATATGTAACCATTTAAACTTGAATATATTGATTTTAAAAGCAAATTCAAATGCATACAGAAAATTAGATTATTGCTATGACAACATAAATAAAACCATGAAAATTAGACAAGAAAATAGATATTAAATGATAATTTCATTTAAAACATTCCTTCAACTGAGCAATCTCCTTCCTCAAAATCTCCCTCTCCTCCTTTAAAATTCTAACTTCATCTCTCAACTGGCCAACAATGTCTTCCTTTGATTACAATTTTGTGGATTTTAGCAGAGATTCTACCTTTGATTACATCGAGTAGGGATTCGAGGAGGAGGATGAGAGAAAAAGCCTTGAAGATGAAGACTCTGATACAAGGAAGAAGCGAGAAAGTGTGAAATGTTTACCTTGAAGAATGAGTTGTATGAGTATCCAAGCCATAACACAACAAAAAGATTAATAGAAAAGCATCCATAAATGAGCAAAGAAGATATTATGCTTTTATTGACGAGTTTATAGTTACTACATACATATATATATATATATCTTGTGTAAAATATATGGGCTTGGAACCCAGCACAAGATTACGAGAAAAACATCAATAAACCGACGAAGAAGACAAATTAAATTAAGGAAATGTGTGTTGCTATTGCTGAATGTTTAGCTATACACACATACTTATCTTATATAATATAGATGAATCTTGTATCTTTTTACTGTTCCCCAAAAGCTCTACTGCGTATTTTGATATTATTAAGCACTAGATACCTAATATATTTTTCTATATACAAAATACAGTTTTTATAATTATACAAAGAATAATATATAATTTACTTTAATTTTTGGTAAAAGATCTGTAAGATAAATAAAATGTATGAAAAAAATAGATAATAAAAAGTTTATATAGTGCATTATGTAAACAAAAATTGTAATACCCTTGATTTATTAATTTTAATGTAATTAAAATTAGTGTATAAATATAGTTTTTTAATTTTTTAATTCTTATTTAATGTAAAAATGAAGAAAATTAAAAGGAGAATGAAACTGAAAATAATTTTAGAAAGAAGGGGTGAAAATTTGGGTTCTGAAAGTATTTTTAAAAGAAAATTCGAAAACTGAGGGATCAAAACGTAATTTAAAAAAATTGTGCCATGTAGGACGCCCAGTCAGCAGCCCCAATGAACTAGAGTGCGTTGCATGGGAAGGGACACTGATGCGAGAGGCCACACTGGCGATCCGCGTGCCCGCGATCGAACGGTCAGATTTGTTCCTGCACGCACGGACGTTCCGGATCCGTTCCCTCCTTAGACGCGATCGGACGGTCAGATTTAAACGTAATGAACAGTCCAAATCCACTTCCTATTTAAACACGATCGGACGGTTCATATCAAATCGCGATGAACGGTCCAGATTTACTCCTATTTAATCGTGATCGGACAGTTCAGATAAAACGCGATAGAGGACCTAGATTAAAAAGGAACATATATAAATAACCATCTTCACATCAAACCCTAACCTAGCCAGAGAAGAAGACCTAGTCACCGGGAAGGAAGCTGACCGTCGCCGCCACTGCACCAGAGTCACTTCTACAGCCAAAAGAGGTAAAAAAAAAATTATTTACTCGAAATTCAATTTTAAACACTATCGTGGCCAAATTATAGCAAAAGGATTGACAGATTGATAGAAAACTGCGGGCAAAACCCAGCAGCTGCCGTAGGAAAAAATAAAAACCACCTCCGATGAGACCCTTTCCGATTCCCGTTTCATGTAATTTTTTCACAATTATAATCACTATTTCTTTCTCTACAGGTTGGTCGAAATAAAACACACAACCGCAAAGGTGAGCCGACAGAACTGTCGCACCAGAGAACCCTGCCGCCGGTAAGCTTCAGTTTTTCAATTTTTTTTGGCCAACTGAGGCCCCTTAACGTATTTTCTTGCAGAGATATGTACAAAACTGGCCGAAAACTGCCAACCTGAGACAAATCACTACCGTGGGCGGCGGTGCCGTCGCTGGAGCACGGCAGAGCCGCCGTGCTGGAATTTTGAAATTGACCAAAAAGGGTTTCTAACACTGATTTTGGATTTTTTGGGAGTATTTCTAGGTACTTGATGCGTGTTCTAATCCCTAAAGAAAAATTCAGGGAACTTGGGGACCGCCAGTAGAGGTATTTGTATACCAATTCGAGTAAGAACCTCTCACCCTATTTCTTGTTATGGAATTAAAGTTTAATTATAAATAATATGGTATTTTATGTAATTTAAAAATATCTATAATTAATTAAAGGTCACTAATTGAGCTGGAATCAATTATTTAGTTTAGTTTGCCGTGTTTAGCTTATTAGTTGATTTTACCGTTTTGAATGTATGATAATACACTGGAATTGGTATGATGATTTGATTAGATTTCTTTGATGTATGTATTGCTTGTTTTATGTGATTACAGTTAAATCATAAAATTAGAAATTAAAGATAAACGGAAAATTATTTGATTAAATGAATGGATGAACGACAGCCTTAGTGGATATTTTGGGAGATGGTGGACGGACCGGGTACATAAAGAACTCTACTGTGAACGTTGCCTCATATCGGATGGAGTATCGAAAATTGGTAATTTGGCGCTCATACCGGACGAGGTATGGGGACGACCAATTTCACCTTCATACCGGACGGGGTATTGATGGATGATATCTTTTGGCACTCATACCGGACGGAGTATGGGGACAACCCGTTATTTGAAATGTTGAATAAATATTTACATATAGTGGGAACATTTCTATGGACCCTAACCTTCATTTCTGTGTCAGCAAGTAGCGTGATATTCTTATTAGGTTAGTGTAACTTATTCTTTTATTAACCATTTCAGATCAAGATAACCAGAATTCAGAATCCAATCCATAAGAGGGTTGCGAGTAGGATGCCTAGTTTTATTTATTTTTTGTTTATTTTTTTAATTTTTCGTAATTTTTTTTAAAAAGAGTCATTCTCATATCTCTATTTTGTAATTTAAGTTATTATATAAGGAATGTAAATCCTAACTATTTATTTCGCTTCTGTACTTAATTTACAATTTATCTCATTTGAAGCTTTCGAGATCATTACAAAAATTATACATAAATAATATATATATATAATATAAATATAAAATACTAGTTTACATTAAATTTTTATGAAAGATGTGCACGATGAATGAAGTGTGGGAAAAAACAAACAGGTGATCAAAAGTTTATATAGGTTATAATTTCAGAATTTGTAACCAACTAAATTTTAATTGTATGACAATAATATTATACTCACATTCTATTTTTATGTTTAAAATATTTAAATAGATAACTATTATATCATCATATTAAATATAAAATAATTTTAAAAATGAAGAATTGATGTGTATATATGAATGTAGGTATAGATAAAGTGCATAATTTTCATTATTTTAAATATTATTTTTAATATTACAAGTAACTAACTTTTTTTTTAATAATTCCATAAATATACGAAGAAGATAATTTTAGGATAAATATATATATATATATATATGATGTAATTTATGAGTTCATAGCTTCTATACACGTATGTATATGTATTATATATAATGTCATAGAGCATGTTTTGTATACATTTGAAGACACCTTTGTTATAAACTGTCTACTAGTCTGAGTTGTTCTATAAACTTGCCAGTTATGTTTACTGTGCATTGGTTGTGACTTGGTGACAGGTTGTATTTCGGCCAATTTATCAACTTAATCTGGTCATATTGAGCCTAAATCTAACGGGATGTATTGGGTCCAAATCTAGGTAGTCTATTATAATATAAACTGTTCTGTAGATCAAATTTATAAGAAGTTTGAAAAATAATATTAATTTGATGACACAACTTCTTCATATTTCTACAAGTGCTTATACTTGGGAAAACATAGTACTAGACTACATTATGGTGATTTATTTTATAATTATATAATATGATACGCTAATAAAAACTACTCGTATTTTAAACAACTAATAGAATACTATTTGGTGATCCATTATTTACTTAAAATAACTTTAAAGTATTATACACATTTCTCTTATAGAATATTTAATTATTAAAAAAAAAACATAATGATTATTAGATTATTATTATTTTTTTAAAATAAAAAGTATAAAGTATTATATTAGCAGAATACCCATGTATAAAAGATTTACAAAAGAATTAAAGCTTTAATGATATTTTCAAAATCTACATCACTAATAATGTCATAACTTAACAATATGGTTCCAAAAAAATGCAACCATTTATCTCTAATGCTATATGGACTGCTAATTTTACCCTCAAAAGCTCTCAAGTCCCATTCTTTCCGGATAACCCATAAAACAATTGATGAAATAATGTTTACAATGTTTCTTTTTACATATATAACCCATCCTAAGTCCAAATTTCCTCATGGACCGAATCCATCATCACTCATTGAATCCCTAACAACTCATAGATCACACACCAACGGTCCTAAGCCACGGGACACCAAAGCAGCAGATGATTGTTAGATTATTAAAAGTAAACTATTTGTTAATCCTTAAATTTCTTCCTCTCATGCATTACAACTCTAGTTCAATTTTTGGTCAACACTAATTGTCAAAATCCCAACAAGAATCTAGATTAATGGACTTCTGTACAAGTAGAAACCTCAAAGGTTCAAATCCTTATAGGTTTCAAACTTCACTATCTTCTTGCAAGCAAACAAACCTCAATGAAACTCATAAGCATAGTCTTATTATTATTATTACTAGATTTTCAGACCATGATACATACAAAATATAATTTTAGAAAAATTATATATGAGATGACATAAATGTTATTTAACATAAATAGAAGAAAAGAATTTCTACTAAAAATATAAAAAATTATCACATCTTATTTTTTGGTAGAAGATTTGATACATCATGTGAAAAACAAATAGATAAATAAAAATTTATATAATGTATAATATCAAAGAAAAGGCAAGATTCTTTATCTATTTTGTCGAAAGATGAGCAAGAGGTTCTCCCCCTGCATTGTTGGACAAGATTATCTTCTTTCTTGGGTCAATGCCAATGACTAGATTATTTTTTCCTCTCATGTGGCTAAGATCCATTCCTCTATAGCAAGAGACTGTTCCCTATCCAGGTCACGAGGTTGCCATCTTCTTTGAATTATCTCAACATGAGTTAAAATATATGTATGGAAGTTACTACTCTCGAGAAGTATTAATGTCCCGTAACTTTTCTATGTTCTGGGACGAAGGAATCAATTGTCATAAAAAATAATAGAAGGTTTGAATTGAAATAAGGCCACACCATATGTGATCAGACTGTAAATTTTCTCAAAATGTTTGAATTCAATAAGAACATCTCTGAAATCTAGATTTGTTTTAATTAATTTACCAGTAAACATTATGAAAATAAGGATACTTACTTCAACAACCAGTCAGATATTTCTACATCAAGTGCTGAATGAATATAAAAGGAGCATGCATGGGCGGAGTGAGCACTAGGAGATGGATTCCCTTTCAAGAATGTACTCCACTGCCTCTTCAACTGTATTCACAACCTGCATGTAAAAAAATGGCAAAAGCACTCCATGAGATAGGTGACAGAAACTTCATGCATTCTGAATACTGATCAACCAACTTAAAACTTGCCAGATCTGCTGGAAACTCAGCATGATTGTCTTCTCCCTGGAAGACGCCTGTCCTCGTCAAGATGGAAAACCAAGGATGCCCAGCCTGAAAATTGGAAGTTGGAAAGAGATGTTTGTTATCCTGAATAAACTAGGATCAATTCTTTGTACAAGATACTCTCTACTATATCTAAATACTATATATATATATATATGTATATGTACATATATATATATGGACAAGTAGATAGATAGCAATTGAGAAGGTATGAAAAAGTGTAGATCAAACCAACCTGTTTTGCACCTTTGATGTCAACTGCTGGATTGTCACCAATAATGTAAAGAGTCTTGAATGAATTTGACATGGAACTTCTATCATCATCAAGATGATTAACGTAACAGGACGCCTGAAGTTTGCTCAGAATTGCTTCAGCATTTTTGAACACAAATGGATTTGGCTTCCCAAAAGTTACATACTCTAGAGCTTTGTGGTTAATTCTGCAAATCGATCAATTTTGAAATGATAATTTTTGGGGGGGGGGGTTTAATACAGAGAGACATCTTTCATTTACATTGGTCATAAATGATAAAGAATATTCAAGAAAAAAGATATTTGGCCTCAATTTGGTTTCAACTCAGAATACAATATCCAAAAGGTGGTAATAAAATAACTGCACTCTCACTCTCATGAAAAGAATATGATATGATACATTCTAACATGTTATAAATATATTTTAAACTGACAAGGGCACTACTCTTACTGTTGAGATGCTTTCCATGCAATTCTAAAAGCACCCATGCCAGACGCTTGAAGAAATGCAGCCTGTATGATGTGATGTATGTCAGTATTATGAAGTACGGTGAAAATTA